GACCACCTCGACCACCAGACCACGTCCCGAGCGGCTCCGCCGAGCAACGACCACGTCGACCACCAGACCACGTCTCGAGTGGCTCCGCCGAGCTCCGACCACCAGACCACGTCGCAATGATGATCGCCACGAAGAGCGGCTCTATGACAACCGCGACCAACGTCACAACAGGCCGAAAAGCTCGAGGACCGGACAACTTCATCACCGCCGATCGGATTTCTATCCAAAGATAAGTACCCTTCTAATATTTATGTTTAATATAATTTTTCATTACGACGTTTCTCCACAAATAACGTTTGTCCATTTATACAATCTTAAATATAACATACAGCTATACTTAATGCAAATCATGGACCAGTCATGCTGACGCTCGATGTTTCCAGAAAAGGCCCTGTCTCCGGCTCCTCCCTACACGTGCACGAGCGTCTGCCCTCTGCGTTATGGGTGGTCGGCAGCGGCTTCTTAGCGACGCTTTGTTCTTCCTACACGTGCACGGGCTCCGCGCCCCGCGTTATGGTTAACGGGCTAGCTAGGGCTGGAGGCTCAGCTACATACTAACTGGTCGGACGATTTATATTAAGTATAAACACAAACTTCACATTAACACTGATGTTTACAAAGCACCAACTACTTTATCACATCATGCTCATTTGCAAACGACTGCTGAGCGTTATTTCTTCATCGCTGATTTTTCTCCATAATTTATTATTTTGTACATCATGTACTACCATTCTACATATTTATATTGCAGGAATCTCGAGCTACGCTCGGGCACTTCGCCGCTCGCCCCTCAACCTGTGCTCGGGGACTGCCTGGACGACTCTCCGACCACAGCTCGTGGACTCTGCCGCTCGCCCCTCGACCTGTGCTCGGGGACTGCCTCGACCACTCTCCGAGCACAGCTCGGGGACTTTGCGTCTCAACTACATGCGACTAGCGACTCGCATACAGTTGGGATATTCTAACTCAACCAGTCAAAACCGACCACCATTCCTTCCTGGGTTTTCGGAGCAGGCCCTGTCTCTGGTTCCTCCCAACGCGTGCATGTGATCTGCTCTCTACGCTACGGGTGATCGGTAGGTCCTCTCTGGTTTGACTTGTGTGCGTCTACGTGTGCACAGGCTACGCACCTCACACTCCGACCATAGGGCAAACCAGGGCCATACAAACCTTTCAGGATGACGTGTCGACTAAACTGGTACAACTAAACAGAACGCTAACATGTTCTCACTTAGTTACACCAACATGATATTCAAGCTTAAATACGTTTTCTACAAAACAAACAAGCTTATGCAAATATACAGTTACGTTATTACAAGCTTGCCTAAAAGGGTCCAAGTTTACAATAACACAACTACATCTTCTTCCACAGCTATAGCCTATACTATTGGCTAGTTGGGTCACGCGGCACCTGCTGTTCGCCAGGCCTGACATCGTGCTCGGGTCTCGGGGACTCTGGAATTGATCGAGCTGAAGAAGATGGCCCCGTCGATGCCTGGCTGGTCGAGACCGCAGGCTTCGCCAGTTGGCTTGAAGATGACGGCGCTCCCAGCTGACTTGTTGATGCCGCCTTTGTGCTCGGGGACTTTGCGTCTCAACTACAAGCGACTGGCGACTCGCATACAGTTGGGATATTCTTTCTCGTTTAGACCTTGCTACAAGGCTCATACCTCGCTTTCCAGCAAGCTCGGAGACTACATCGGTACGATGCACCTGCCGGTGCATCTTGTATCGCCTGTACGACGATTGGATTCTCAACTTAACTGGGAATTCTTTTTAGACCCTGGCACCACGTGCCTACGTCACTTACTACCAGGCTCGGGGACTAAGTGGGTACACTTCACCTTACGGTGAATGTGCTCGCTCTGATGGTTCAAACACCCCCGATTCTACAAGGACGACGGTGTCTCTTTTTGACTCAGAGTCAAAGTGGGCACACTTCGAGGGAAATATTTTTCAAATTTTATCTTGAGCCCCTTACATCCTTCTGGCAAGCTCAAGACGACGCTACTCGAAGGATACAAGGCGCTCGGGGACTAGCTGTGGGGGTATGGCCCCCGGTATCCTCAAGGCAACACATGAGCCGCACCATCAGAGATGGCCTGGCCCATAAGATCGAGGCGTGCACGGCAAGATTACAAGTTGTACTAGATATTGTAATAGTACCAAATAGGATACTTTACTTATAACCCTCCTCCTCCAGACTATATAAGGAGAGGCAGGGGACCCCCTCAGGGGACAATCCATCTAGATCATACAGATCATAACAGATCTCACCTCAATCAATACAAATAACAGAGCACAAGACGTAGGGTTTTACGCCACACTGGCGGCCTGGACCTGTATAAATCTTGTGTCTTGTGTCTCTGTAACCATCTGGTTCCTGATTACGCGCATCCTACCGATAATCTACCACCACGGGCACCCCTCTCGGTGGACTGTCGACCATGTTTCGTCGACAGCTTGTCTTAGGACTCCACAATGCACTGGTGCCTCTGAAGGTCTCCTTTGGACATGGCCAAACCACCTCAACCGATGTTGGACAAGTTTTTCTTCAATTGGTGCTACTCCTAGACGATCACGTATGTCATCGTTCCGAACTCTGGTCCATTCCTGTGTGACCACAAATCCATCGCAACATACATATTTCTGTAGCACTCAGTTGTTGAGCATGTCGAATCTTTGTAGGCCAACATTATGCTCCATAGAACATAGCCGGTCCAATCACCATTCTATAAAACTTGTTTTTTATCTTTTGTGGTACCCTCTTGTCACAAAGAATGCCAGAAACTTGTCGTCACTTGATCCACCCTGTTTTGATTCTATGCCTAACGTCCACATCAATATCTTTATCCCTCTGTAGCATCGATCCCAGATAATGAAAGTTATCCTTAGGCACTACTTGACCTTCCAAACTTACATCTCCCTCCTCCTGTGCAGCTCCGTCAAAGTCACATCTCATGTATTTGGTTTTAGTTCTGCTTAATCTAAAACCTTTAGACTCAAGGGTCTGCCGCCACAACTTTAGTTTCCTATTTACTCCCGCCTGGCTTTCGTCCACTAACACTACATCATCAGCGAACAACATACACCAAGGGATATCCCCATGTATGTTTCTGGTAACCTCATCCATTACCAGGCAAAGAGATACGGGCTCAAGGCTAACCCTTGATGAAGTCCTATTTTAATCGGGAAGTAATCTGTGTTACCATCATTTGTTCGAACACTAGTCGCGGCATTGTTGTACATGTCTTTGATGAGGGTCACGTACTTTGATGGTACTTTATGTTTGTCCAAAGCTCACCACATAACATTTCTTGGTATCTTGTCATAATCCTTCTCTAAGTCAATGAAAATCATGTGTAGGTCCTTCTTCTGCTCTCTGAACCGCTCCATAACTTGTGTTATTAGAAAGATTGCTTCTGTGATTGACCTTCCGGGCATGAAACCAAATTGGTTCATAGATATCTGCGTTGTTCCTCGCAGGCGCTGCTCAATGACTCTCCCATAGCTTCGTAGTGTGGCTCATCAACTTAATTCACTGATAATTAGTACAACTTTGGATGTCTCCCTTATTCTTATAGATTGGTACCAATATGCTTCTTCTCCACTCCTTAGGCATCTTGTTCGATCGAAAGATATTGTTGAACATCTTGGTTAGCCATACTATAGCTATAGCCCCGAGACATCTCCACATCTTGATTGGGATACCATCAGGGCCCATTGCTTTGCCCCCTTTCATCCTTTTCAAGGCTTCTCTGATCTCCGATTCTTGAATCCTCCGCACAAAGTGCCTATTAGTGTCATCAAACGAGTCGTATAGCTGAACGGTGGTGTTCTCGTTCTCACCATTGAACAGTTTATCAAAATACTCTTGCCATCAATGTCTGATCTCATCCTCCTTCACCAAGAGCTGCTCCCTCTCATCCTTTATGCACTGATAGACATGTCTAATAGCTAAAATTTCTCTGATGTCTGGCTTGGCAGGGGGTAATAAGTGTGCAGCTTGGTTACTCCTAGAATCACTACCAAGGCAAAACTGGATGCCCCTTTAGATAGCATCATCCATGATTGAACTCTGCTGAAATACTTTGTGTTTGTGGCCGATTTTAAATCATCATGTTTTCATGTGACTGTTGAGAATTCCCACAGTAAAAGGTGTACTGAAATTTTAATTACAGAAATAAAATGCAAGTGTGGCCATGCTGTTGTTAGGTTATATATACATCTCTTGGTTAGTAAGGTGAGAATTAGTCTGCATAAGAATGTATTGTCAGTCTGTAGTATCATGTCTATTTGACCCAAGCATTATATATTATTCTGAATGGAAGACTACATCGATGGCTTCACTATCTCCTAGTGAATAGAGAACACCAATCGAATCTTTTGCAGATACTCCGTCAATCCCTGGAACTAGTCAAGATAGGGTTTAGAAAGATGGAAGCAATCAATTTGACGTCTAGATGTTTCATTCGTTTTCTCATGAATATACTGTGCATGACTAAAATTAGTATAATGTAGCATAAATTAATCATTGTGCCTACAGTATAGAAAATAAGCTGGTTAAGTAAGTCTAATAAACGAAGTGATGATATGATGTTCACTGTGAGGATGATTTCAAAATAATTGTCTCATGGGCAGAATGTTGTCGAAGGGCGGGCCTGGTGCAAGCGGTAGAGTCTTACCGCCTGTGACTGGAAGGTCCCGGGTTCAAGTCGCAGTCTCCTCGCATTGCACAGGCGAGGGTAAGGCTTGCCACTGACACCCTTCCCCAGACCCCGCACAGAGCGGGAGCTCTCTTCACTGGGTATGCCCTTTATGGGCATGATGTTGTTTCGGTTGCAACCTTTTGTATTTTATACATTGTGCTACAAAATCTCTTTTTGTTTTATATTTTGGAAAGATGCTTAAGTATGGCTATTGAGTGCTAGAAAATTAGATTTTCTATCCTTTTGTTCTTCTCTAATTGCTATACTAATGCTTCTTGTTTAATTGTGCAGATTCTTTGGCCAGAATGTGGTTGGCGACCTATATCATTGACTGATCTGATTACAGCAGCATCTGTCAAGAAAGAATACAGGAAAGCAACATTGTGCATCCATCCTGATAAAGTGCAGCAGAAGGGGGCAAATCTTCAACAGAAATACATTGCAGAAAAGGTATTCGACCTTCTGAAGGTATGGCTACTCAATGTCATTCTAGACTTGATGTATTATAGCTTCTTACCTGTTCAATTCAGTTTTCTCAACATTTCAACTACAAAAGCTCATTGCTGCTGCTGTGCTTCTAATGCATTGTTAGTTTGTACAGTACTAAACCTTTTTCACGATTGGCATTCTTAGTGTTATAAAATATCTCACGACTCGCAAGCAATGGTTTTATTCTGTTAGACCTTTGCTTACACACTTCTGTGATGCAAACAGGAAGCCTGGAACAAATTCAACTCAGAAGAACTCTTCTAACATCTTGTTTAGGAAACATGTTGATCATTTATATATTGCAAAACAAGTATTGGGAAGGACAGAAAGGCAAGCTATGGTAGATATTTTATTCTTTTTCTTTTCTATTATATATAGTTTTGTCGTGTCTGTCTTATTTCCTTGTTACCGATTTCTTGCTCGCCTTATTTATCGACATCTGTACCTTTATTTTTGTCATGTAACTTTGTACATGTTGTTCCGTGGGTAGTGTAAGTAAACCTGTACTTGTAGAGAAACAATCCTGTAAATAGCAAGCGGAAAATTCCATTTTTGACAATAGCATTTACGCGGAGATTGCTTGACTTCCTTGGGTAAATGTATATCCACTAGTGCAGGGCGCGCACCTGCGGGTACAGATGTGAAGAATGAACATTGAGATAGTTGATGCATATGCACTGCAGTTTTGGAAAGGTCTGCTGGTCCTGTCTGGAAATACATTACATACGCTGTTTATGTGCAGGAAGAGCGGTGCTTAATATATATACTATACATGTTGGTTAGATAATACAACAACAACAACATAGCATTTCAGTCTCAAGTAAGTTAGGGTAAGCTAGAGTTGAAGTCCACCAAGAGCCCTAAGTCACGGTTCAGGCACTTTAATAGCTAATTTCTAAGTATTCCTATTCAAACATAGATCTTTAGGTATATCCCGACCTTTCAAATATCTTTTTATTGTCTTCCCCCATATTAATTTTGGTCTTCCTCTATCTCTCCTCATATTATTAGCTTGCCTTAGGACTTCACAATGCACTGGTGCCTCTGGAGATCTCCTTTGAACATGGTCAAACCACCTCAACCGATGTTGGACGGTGCACCTTAAGACTCCTATTCACCTTAATATATATACTATACATGTTGGTTAGATGGAGCGAAATATATTATATATGGCGATATTCTGCCTGGTGCGGGCGTGTTGGAGTAACATGACGATTGGATAGGCGGTGCATGGCCTACACGAGCTATAAGTACAGAAAACGAGTAGAGAATGTTCAACCTAGCACATTTTTGGATAAACAGGCATACAAGTTCTTGATAGGATTAGACGGTTCTAGGTAACCAACGGTAATTGAAGGTACGATAGCCTGGCTAATATACAGACAACAGGCCTAGGAGCAGGTTTCATCCTTCTTTGTACAGGAGAACCTTTTGTCGGGATGCTCCATAACCCTTCATAGTTTGAGGAGTGACACGCTTAGCAAATGTTATGCATGCTGCATTTGTGAAGCTTAATCCTGCGCATGTCACAAAATGGCGATGTCAGCGCCTTGTTGATTGTCTTTACCTGGTTGAAGAAACAATGTATCGAATCAATAAATGATTATCTTGGAATAGAATGGTTGCAGTGAAGGAAAGGGTAATTTAGGTTTTTAATCATGAGGACGCGGGACATATCACACACTATGGTTTTTGGGAAGGTAAAATTTAGCTATGCATGTGAATTAACGCATGTTACGGCAGCTAAATGGAGGATTAAATCAAACAGACAATGGTCAAGTGATAGAGGCACATAGAACCGACACACCGCACCCGGGGGTGGGTTTGTGTGACATTGCATTTTTTAAGAAATGTAAAATGTCGTTTAAGTAAAAATCATGTAGCACCTTTGATACTGGGTAGGCGTCTGCATCATGGAACAATTTCCTGCATGTATACCAGAGGTTTAAAAGGGAGTCTAAAAACAGTTGTGCTGAACCGATTGGCAGAATGTTATTTGATAGTTCCAAAATGCAGCAGATTAGTGGCTGAGGATAAGACTCTGTGCAAGACTGAGCAGGCACGTAATATTTACCTATTCTGGAGCCTGAGTCAAAGAGGCCTTGTAGGCACTGTCATTTGTCTGATGCGTGGAGCCATCGGTTCCAGCTCTGTGTGTTTGTATGCATACGTTTATGTTAAATTTATGTATTTGGATGAAATGTCATAAATGTTTGTACCTGTAAATGGACCTCTTTGCTCTCTGCTGGAATATTAAATCAGATGTAGTGTCCTGGTCAGCTTATGCAGCTGTTTCGGTGCCCAAATTTTCATCCACCGTAATTTCCGGAGATCAAAGGCGAAGTGAAGTACCAGGTTTTCAGATGGCAAAGTACATGGAAATGAGAAAGCAGCAGTTTTGTAGGCATAGGTTGATGAGGCACGGGGTGGGGCAAGTTATATGAAGGTACCTCTGCAGCATCAGTTATGTCATGAAACAGTTGCCTGCGAGTCTGTGTCGCTCGTGCTGACGATGTAGTTCGAATTGGAAGGACAAGAGATCCCAAAAACCAACATAGAACGGTGAGTAAGTGAAAGTTGATTGATTGATTTTGGGATATCAATGTGACTTACCCACTGGTAAGATCTTTCAAGGGTGTCTGATTAGGGTCAATGCTGGATGAGGTGTCTGCACATGGAACCATAAAAGCAAGTTTACACACAGATAGGAAAATGCGAGAAAGTGTGCAGAGATTTTAAAGGCCAGTGCAACATACCGAAAGAATAGTAGGGTCGATGTCTTAAACTTTGGGTTTGAGCTTATGAATCCCGTGCGATATCAGGTGAGGCTCCTGTTACTGCAAGACTGGTTGTTGGACTTGGAGCAATCTGTGTGGCGGCGAACACCAATTTCTTGGATATAAGTGGTCTGTTCGTTTGGCTGATAAGCCATGACTGAAAGTATTATTAGCTGATTTGTTGTGAGAGAAAAATACTGTTCATTGGCTGAAAAAGTATGGCTTATAAGTTAAGCGAACCGGGCGAGGAGCTTTGAGTGGCTGAGGGAGCCCACTTGTTAGTTTCAACGGATTTAAAATCGCATTGCAGTCGCGCTGAACAGCTCGCCTTGCTATGTAATCGTGTGCAAAGAAACTCCCGTCAGCTGTCTCGTCCTTGGCAATGAAGGATAGCATGTATCTGTATAGTTTAGAATAAAAATTGTTAACAGCACATTATGGTCGATGGTTGGTTATCTGGTATGCAAATTCGCTCTGTGCGTATATGAATAATAATTATTACCTTGCCAATGCCATGGCATTTTGGGCACTTGTATCCACCACCAGGCTGATCATCTGATTTTTTCTTGCACCCTTTGCACGATATGGACCACCAGTTGTTCTAGGGTATGTATGTAACAGTGACAGTGCAGTTGTAGCTTTCATCCTGTGATAACAGAAAGATGCAGCTCAGAAGAAGACACAAAGTTTGTTTGCAGGTGTTTGATAGTGATGCTGACTGTAAACTTGCTGTTTAAAAAAAGAGGACGACAACCCCGTTCGGCTTACCCCATATTCGGCTTATTTGACTTCTTTTATAAGCCGGAATAGTGTTTTTCTCTCACAACAATTCAGCCAGAACAGTATTTTTCAGCCAATTTCAGCTAAAATTCTGCCGGCCGAACGGGGCCTAACGTGAAATCATATGGGTCTATACTATTGAGCTCGGCAAGGTGTTTTTGTTGGAGCGGAGCAGCCTACATAGTTTAGTAGGTTTCTTGTTCAGATGTCAGAGACCGTTCTATCTGAACTTGTTCATAATAGAGGAAGATAAGGTAGAAAAACCTGTAAATGCACTAATCATAGTACTAAAATAAATCAGGCACTGACAATTCTACACTCACTCCGTATATATGCAAAAGAGAATCATTAAGTTTGACGTCCATGAAGAGCAACCAACACAGTGAAAACTGGGAACACATGGGAGAAACTGAAGATGCAGATGCGTGAGGAAAGGAAAGGAGGCTAACTGAGTATGGTACTAAGACAAGAGCATGCCCTTTTTTTTCTAATTGATGTGCAAATTAATCTACCAAAGACCAATGCCTTTTAAGTCTGTCCACAAGACCTCAAATTTAATTATCCATGCTCAACAAAGATGGTATAACAATCTTATAGGAACTGCTTACCAAATCAATATCATATTGCTTCAGCAATTCTAACTCTAAAAATATATGCAAAAAGATGATTGTTCGTCTTGTCATCGAGAATCCAACATACAGGAAAGGCAGGAGTGGGTGGCCCGATTCTCAAAGAGATGGTGACAGAAGATCGATAGAGTGCAGCAACATGGACTAAGGTGGTGTTTGGATCCAGTGACTAAAATTTAGGAGGTGTGTCGGGAGGATGTTGCATGGGGTGTTCGGATACTAATAAAAAAATAAATTACATAATCCGTCAGTACTCCACGAGACGAATTTTTTAAGCCTAATTAATCCGTCATTAGCACATGTTACTTTAGCACGACATTGTCAAATCATGGACTAATTAGGCTTAAAAGATTCGTTTCGCAAATTAGTCGTAAATTATGCAATTAATTTCATAATTAGTCTATATTTAATACTCTATGCATGTGTCTAAATATTCGATGATTTAGGAGGGGTAACTGAACACCACCTAAATCCGCATCGCCACTCACTCTACCAGAAGCCAACAAAGATGAGCACACGATATAGTCCTGAAGCTGTTTTTATGAGTAAGTACTACCCAACAAGATTTTGCAAGATAACCTTAAGAGACATTTCATGAAGCAATCCACAACAATAAAATGTAATATAAGCAATCGCTGTGAGAGCACACAGCTCTACATGTTACTAAGGGAGGCCATGACCCACTATGGTGTACCCGTGGAATCGCCATTGATCTATTTAACATTTGGCCATAAGCGGAACAACCGATAAGCCATAAGGGGAATTAGATAACTCACAGTATATGGAACATAGAAAAGTTCATGATGCCAGTCAAGACTACTTGTAGTTGCCTTTTCTTCTTTGGAACCTAAAACACTCCCCCACAATCACTATATGTGGTCGCCTTGTTTGGAGATCTGAAACTAA